TACGTTAATGTCTTCATTAACGTCTATATTAAAATGTTAACGTCTATGTTAAAACGTTAATGTCAAAGTTGATGTCTACATTAACAGCTATATTAAAATGTTAACGTCTATGTTAACGTTTATGTTAAAACGTCTACGTTGACGTCTACATTAAAACAGTAATGTCTACGTTAACGTCTACGTTAACATCTACAATAACGTTTACATTAATGTCTACATTAAAACGTTAATGTCTACGTAAATGTCTACGTTAACATGTTAGTCCCAAACGAAGCCTTTGTGCTGGTTTTGAACCAGTTTAAATGGTCCTGTGTTCTGGATGTCACAGATGGAGACGGGCTGTCCCACATGGCTCAGTGGAGGATGAGACAACTCTACTGGGAAACACAAGACGCCAGCAACGACAACGAAAGGTGAGGAGGAACTGGGCTGTACTGGACAGAACCGGGTCCACAGACTGGATGATCTGTGTTCAGGCTTATTGGGTTTTAACAAGTTCCTGTAGAAACGAAACGAGGGCGTTCGTTTTGTGTAACCACAGATTAAGCTGATGATGATGAGGGCACGGGTCATGAAGAAGTATTTAGTTTTTCTTTCCTGAGCGCAGAGGTCACTAAAGGTCGTTGACGAGCTGAGACCAGTCGAGTTGGCTGTAATGAAAGGTCTCAGTCGATGAGCTGGCTTATTAACAAACCGTGGGCCGGGAAATCAATCAGAACTCTTTCTGCTGTGAATATTTTAAAACTGAGACAGAAAATGGAAGAATTTTTGAGGAGTTTGAGGAGTTAACCTCTGCTCCTCGGAGAAATGAACTGTGGCTAATGTGCAGAATTGTACCGGTGAATATTCACGATCTGAGCTCGGCGCTCGGCCCATGCGGAGGCTGCTTGAGTTTTCAGCAGACGGACAGCCCTGCTCTGCGTTTGTTTCAAGGCTGACTCGTTCCCCCAGAATACTTTATGAACCGTATAAACATTATAAAATATGCACCAGGTTCTGCAAACCTTGAAGCTGGGTTCAGAAGTGAGGGCTGAAATCCAGAGACTGAGCCTGAGGCGTGTTAACAGGAAAACTACAACACTGACCTCGTGGTGAGAATCATCATTTCTCCTGTCGTTCTGCATATCCACTCATGTCTGCAGTGATTTCCAGAGCTACATCCTCACCCAGGGTCCTGAAAGCACAAAGAAGGATAAAATCCAGGCGGGTGACATCATCCTGGACTCCGGTCCTGTCAGGTGACGCAACCGTTTTTCTGATTTTGAAGACACTGTTATTTACTGTTTCCTGCTGTGGCGTTGATCCGGTGCAGCAGAACCTGACCTCCCTGCTCCCTGCAGGTTGTCCTGTCTGCCTCCAGCTGCTCTGGATCTGGGACTGGATCTGGGACTGGGTCTGGATGTGGAGGAACTGGCTGAGGACTGTTCTGCAGTCCACTCACAGCTGGAGTTCCTGCAGAGGTTACTGCTGCAGGTAAGACCTTCACACGTCTGTCAGCCTAAAGAACATGTTTGTTGGGAGTTTTTATGCACTCCGGGTTTAAATCGTTTTGTTTTTCATATTATGAGTCAAAAACAAGTTTAGTGTTTCCTGTTCGTTGTTCAGGAGGACGGCGTGGACGAAGACACTCTGACCACAGACACTCTGAGTCCAGAGAGCCCGGACTCGTCCCACAGCACCGACTCACAGGTTCGGCAGGATTCATTACAGCCTACATTACCCACAATCCCCCTGCTGACCTGTCTGTCTGTAGGTGCAGGTGCTCCTGCAGGAGGTGCAGCAGCTTCGAGAGGAACTGAGGAGCCGGGACCGAACCATCGCCCAGCTCAGCCTGCAGCTGGTCTGTATCTCACTGAGCTCAGATCTGCAGCTCCTCCATCCTGAACCGATAAACCTTCATGTTTTTATGGGACTAACAACCAGAGAAGAACTTCTTCTCATGAATTAAGAAATTATTAGAGCATTAAATTAAAGTTTGCTTCTGAAATTCTAATCTTCACGTAACTTATTTTCTGCTCACAAAGAATAAATTATTGTGAATTAATGACAAATTATTAATATTTAGTTGAAGAGTAATCTTCAGTATGACAGAAAAAATGTTTTTTTTTTTAGGTTTTACTAAACTGTTTGTTGAACAGAAGCCCTCTTTAAAATGTCCGAACTATCCCTTTAATCCTAATGTTGGCTATCACGCAACCGCGCACCCTCCCCCCGCGA